GGCTTGTTTCAGACCATACAGAGACTTTTTCAGTTTAAAAACATGTTCTGGATATTTTGAGTCATCAAAACCCGGAGGTTGAAGGACATAAGCTTCTTCTTCTATGTAACCATTTAAAAATGCACTTTTAACGTCCATTTGATATAATGAGATGTTATGTTGAACAACAAAAGAAATTAATAATCTAATTGATTCTAACCTGGCGAATGGGGAAAAGTTTTGTTATAATCAATTCCTTCTTGTTGACTATAACCTTGTGCAACCAGTCATGCCTTGTTTCTGACAACCTCTCCTTGCTCATTTAACTTGTTTCTGAATATCCATTTTGTTCCTATGATATTGAATCCTTTAGGTTTTGGAACTAGATCCCACACATCATTTCTGGAAAATTGATTTAGTTCTTCTTGCATAGCTAAGATCAAATTATTGTCTTCCAGAGCTTCCTCTATTGAGGTTGGCTCAATCAGAGAGACCAATCCAAACAGTGATTCTTCATTGTTTCTGAGGGAGGATCTTGTTCTGACGGGATCTTCTTTCTTTCCAATAATCACATTTTCTGGATGTGCTGATGTGATTATGGGGAATCTTTTCTGTGAGGTTTGTTTAGAGATTCTTAGATTGTCCAGAGCATTTGCAATAGAAGGATCTTCTTAGATGTCCTTTGCTTCTGACTCTTCATAGTTTGTAAGATGATCTTCTGTACCTGCAGGATTTTCATTATGCTTTGGCTTTTGCTGGCCAATCTTATCATCAAATCTGACTTTGATTGATTCTTCAACAATCAGAGTTTCTGTGTTGTATACCCTATAGCCTTTTGAGCATTCAGAATATCCAAGCATAAAACACTTTTGTGCCTTAGAATCAAACTTGTTCAAATTATCTTTAGTATTCTGAATATAGCAAGTACATCCAAAAGGATGAAAATATGAAATGTTTGGTTTTCTGTTTTTCCATAATTCATAAGGAGTCTTTTCAAGAATAGGTCTTATAGAGACTCTATTTTGAATATAACATGTTGTGTTCACTACTTCTGCCCATAAGTGTTTAGCCATATTGGTTTCATTAATCATGGTTCTGGCCATTTCTTGCAAGGTTATATTCTTTCGTTCTACAACTCCATTTTGTTGGGAAGTTCTAGGACAAGATAAATCATGAGAAATGCCATTTTATTTTAAAAAAAACTTTTCAAAATAATGGTTTTCAAATTCTCCTCCATGATCACTTAAAACTTTTATGATTCTAAACTCGTTTTCATTTTGCACGTGGATGCAGAAGTTGTAGAACACAGAATGTGACTCATCCTTGTATTTTAAAAACTTTACCCATGTCCATCTGTTATAGTCATCAACAATGACCAATCCATACTTCTTGCCACTGATGGATGCAGTTTTAACTGGTCCAAACAGATCAATGTGAAGAATTTCCAACGGCCTAGAGGAAGAAACAACATTTTTTGACTTAAAAGAAGGTTTTGAAAATTTTCCTTTCTGACATGCTTCACACGGAGCTTCTGAGAGGAACTTCAGAATGGGAAGTCCCCTGACCATATTGAGTTTGTTAATTTGAGATATTTTTCTCATGCTAACATGTTTCAATCTTCTGTGCCAGACCCATTTCTCATCGATAACAGACATAAGGCATTTTACATTCTGAGTTATAAGGTCAGAAAAATCAATTTTATAGATGTTGTTCTTTCTCTTGCCAGTAAAAAGGATTGTTCCATCTATTTACTAACAGCTCTACAAGATTTTTGATTAAAGATTATGTCATAACCGTTGTCACTTAATTGGCTTATGGACAGCAAGTTATGCGCTAATCCTTCTACCAATAGAACATTAGTTATAGAAGGAAGGCTACTGTTTCCAATGGTTCCAGAACCAATAATCTTTCCTTTCTGATTTCCTCCAAATTTGACATCTCCTCCAGATTTAAGTTCCAGACTTTGGAACATAGACTTTCTTCCCATCATATGTTGTGAGCATCCAGAGTCCAGGTACCACGATTGGTGTTTCAACTGAGTTGTTAAGGACATCTGCAACATATATTATTTTCTCCTTAGGTACTCATATCCTTTTGGGTCCTTTTTTGTTAGAGTTTCTAAAGTTCTGTTTGAACTTTGATTTAGCATAAAAAATGTCAGAGTGAGATGTGTATTTGATATCATGTGTGTGCCCAAAACTAAATTGTTTGTGCAGTAGTTTATATGTGATAACCATTTCCTCAACAGGTTTAGGTTTATATGTTTCTTTCCCTTTGGGAGTTTCATATCCAATTCCTCTTCTGTTATTTCCACTAACACCATAGATCATTGAAGCCATTTTGCCTCTATCTGTGCTTTTAGCAAGAAATGTTTGAAAACTAGAGTCATGTTCTTTAAGAATATCTCTTGAACTTGAAGCAGAATCTGAAATAGAAGACTTTTGAACTTTTTGAACTTCCTCTTTGAGTTTAAAAATATTTTCTTTAAGTTCAGAGTTTTCTATTTCAAGTTTCTCAAAATCAGATGCAAGATTCTTTTTGAGTTTCTTGCATTTGATTTTGAGTTGACTGTAGTTTTCAAGAAGTTCTGATAAGCTTTCTGCAAGTTCGGCTTTAGAGAATTCAAAGAATACCTCTTTTGGTTCTGAATCATAGTCTGAGTCATCGTCATCTGCTGTGGTAGCCATAAACGCTAGGTTAGCGTGCTCATCTTTTGAGTCAGATTCAGCTTCAGAAGATTCTGAATCATCCCAGGTGGCCATCATGCCTTTCTTTATTCCAAACTTTTTCTTTGGTGTTTCTCTTTGTAGCTTAGGACAATCACTTCTGTAGTGTCATGGTTCTTTACATTCATAGTAGACTATATCTCTTCTGCTTGACTTCTTATGTCCAGAAGATTCTGGTTTATCTTCTGACCTCTTGTAGTTTCTGAACTTCTTTTGTCTGTGTTTCCACATCTGGTTGATCCTTTTGGAGAGCAGAGATAACTCATCTTCTTCTGATGCCGAGTCTTCAGAGTTTCCTTCTTCTGCCTGAAAAGCGTTAGTTTCACATTTTTTAATAGATTTAAGGGCGACATACTTACCTTTCTTCTGAGGCTCATGTTCATCAAGTTCTATCTCGTGACTTATTAATGCACTTATGAGTTCTTCAAGAGATACATCATTCAAATATTTTGACACTTTGAATGCAGTAACCATAGGTGTCCATCTTCTGGGTGAACTTCTGATAATTTTCTTAACATGGTCTGCCTTGGTGTATCCTTTGTTCAGAACTCTCAGGCCAGCGGTTAGAGTTTGGAATCTTGAGAACATAGCTTCAATAGACTCATTTTCTTCCATTTTGAAGGCTTCATACTTCTGGATGAGAGCCAGAGCTTTTGTCTCTTTTACTTGAGCATTTCCTTCATGAGTCATTTTGAGAGACTCAAACATGTCATGTGTTGTATCTTTGTTGGTGATTTTCTCATATTCCGTTTTAGAGATAGCGTTCAGAAAGATATTTCTGGCTCTGTGGTGATTATTGAAATCTAATTTCTATTGTTTATCCATGTTCTTTCCATCAATCTTGTTTTCGTCTTTGTCTTCTGGATGTATGTAACCATCTAGGACCATATCCCATAAATCAGCATCATGACCTAGAAAGAAACTTTCTAGTCTATCCTTCCAGTATTCAAAGTCTTCTCCATCAAACACAGGAGGTTTGGTGCAGTTGTTGTTATTTTGTTCAGTTGCCATAATGTTTTCCTTCTGGATCTTTTTCTAACACTGTTAGGTGTTCGCACCCAGAACTAGAGCTCTGATACCAATTGAAGGGTGAGAAAACACTTAGAAGGGGAGGTTGAATAAGTTTTTCCTTTTTCTCGTGCAATATTAATGGAAGGACACATGTATTTTTATCCTAGTTCGTTTGAAACTCAAAATACTCCAGTCCACCCGCCAAGGTTATTTCGCCTCTCTCAACGAGGACTTAATCCACTATAATCAAAACTGATTACAAATGCACAACCAAATTGTTGTGACTAACAATACAATTCACAAGCCAACTGCAAGTGACTAACACCTCTAAGACTCAACTAGTCCTAGACCTCTCGAGAAATCTGACCCAACTGGTCTCTCAAGGAACAATTACAATGCACAACCAAATTGTTGTGACTCATACCTCTAAGACTCAACTAGTCCTAGCCCTCTTGAGAAATCTGACCCAACTGGTCTCTTAAGGAACAATTACAAAGATTATCTCTTAATAGTAGTGAATCAGAATGCTTATAATAAGCTATATCACAAACTGTGATTTATCACTAAGATTTTAGCCCAGTACTTAAGAATTACCCAGTATATACAAAGAGTTTACAAGAATGAAAAATAGTGAGCTTCAATATATTTTGTGTGGATCAGTAACGTTGCTTTGAAACAAATGGTCTTCTATATATAGCTTCAACTTTTGACCGTTACTATCTTGAAGAAAGAGTATGCATTAATGATGAGTGTTAGATTGATCTTTATGTTTCCAATGCTCTCGTGTGTAGTACCACTTGAGTGTGTAGTACCACTTGAGTGTGTTAGCCGTCTTAGCATTAAATGATCAACGGTACTGTCAGAGCTTGTCTCTGGAAGTTTAATAGTTTGCTTGCAGCGTTGCAACATCAGAGTTTGCTTTAACTTTTCTTCTATCAGAGTTTGCTTTAACTTTTCTTCTATCAGAGTTTTCTTTAACTTTTCATCTATCAGAGTTTGCTTTAACTTTTCTTCTATCGGAGTTTTCTTCATTTTATGTTCATCAGAGTTTGCTTCAGCTTGCATTATCAGATATTGCTTTCAGCGTGCTTCTTTCAAATCTTTGCTTCAGCTAGCTTTATCAAAGGTTGCTTAAGATTAATTTTATCAGAGTTTGCCTTGGAGTGCTTCCTTCAGAGTTTGCTTCAGACTTGCGTTTACATATAATTTCTTAGGAACTTCTTTATCCTTTTTCTTCTCAGCGTAGAATGATGTTTCACTTTTGAGAATGCTTGAGTCAGAACATCACCTGAATTAGAAAGCATGCACATCAGAGTATAAAATATATTATACAAAATTTATTTCATTGTTATCATCAAAACTCTAAGATATGATTAGAACCAAACTTTGTTCTAACAATAATAATTATGGACACATCAATTACTCACAGAGTAAAAGAGGAAAGGAGAAACCTCTATAAATAATTGGTCATTTACTTGAGAAATAACAATCCTTGAATGTAGCAATAATCTTGGTCAAAGAAAATGTTATTTGAGGAGAAACTTCCATTAAAAACAATGTGCATCATCTAAGAACAAATTTGAACTTCTTTAATAGCCCTGAATTGTTTTTGCTAAAAAGAAACAGTCCCAATACATGCACATGCATAGTCAAACACACCTTCTGACAAGTGTTTGATAAAACTGTCCATATCACTCCCTTGTTGGTCTTACAGGAAACATGTCCTGAATAATATTCTGACATCCAATCAGACATTGCAAGCACAAACATTGACCAACACATCTTCATCCATATTGATTTTCGTTGGATTCTAAGTGTTCTCCTTTCACTTAGACATAGTGATGCACACCAAGATATCAGACTATCACATTTGTGACATCTCTCAATAATACAGATCCTTAGAGAGTCCTTCAAAAAATCTGTAGAGAAAAAAAATTCTCCTAGGAGAGAGATAATTAATCACTAGAGAGATATGTGAACTTCTAATTTAAACACCCAACTTAACATGGCTAAGAACCAACCATGTCTTGTCAATATCACCAAAAACTTCATAATGTCACAATATGTTGTCTGACATCACACTCTCATAAGAGGCATAAGATCTCCACAAGTTTGAACAACACATAAATAGTATTTGTACCATTGCAACAACAATCCATATACAAATACATGACTCCCCCTGCCATGAATAACCAATGCTCCATCTGAATATGAAAACTTGAGTACTAGATGAAAACACACGAAAGACTTCATGATTTCATGTTGAAGAACAACCCTTTCCCACATATATTGAACCCCGACTCCCTCAATAGAGTCAAACCAGAGTCAGATACTATCACTCCTTGAGAATACATCCAAGAACTCATACTCCTTCACAATACAAGGACACGTGTGATCACTGTCCTTTCATAACCACACTATGAATCATGACCTTTTGAATAGGAAAGATATCATGCATACTAGGTGTAAGTTCACTCACAAACTCCAAAAATTCTTAATTTTCTTAAAAGTTTTACTAAGATCTAGATTGTCAACTCTCATCTGGAGTGACTTGCAACAGAAGAAAAATACCTCCTCAAAACACTCTACTCAGATCTCAGTATTTGTCAGCAATTTTCTGCCCTTACATCCACTAGTAGTTGTTGATACTAGTGGAGTATTCAAAAAAGTAGTCATGCACTTACCAATCATACTCTTGTATACAGGATTAGATTCTCCATATTCTAATCCACTTATTCAGAAATGCCACTTCTGATAATAATGGTTGAGCATCTTACTTCGCATGCACAATCCCAAGCATTAAAAGCAAAATTGCCATCAGTGATCATGATGTTATAACATCACTTGGAACATCAACTTCTTAATACATAACCCAATAATTTTGGTTCTTAAATCATCATTAAAAGGACTCATTGTGCATAGAAATCCTTTACGAAGCTCCCAATAAAAAAATAACCAGTGTGTTGAACTGGTTTGAAAACGAGAGTCGTCACCCTTAATTTTTACCCTAAAGGAAGGGATTATAAATGAATAACCCTAAAACGTTCAGAGATTCTAGGCTTGACTCGGTTCTAGATGAAGGGAATGTGTTAGGCACCCCTCATCTACCTTGTTCACAAGTATACTAGGTTTAGAAGCGTTTTTTTAAGAAAATAGGGTTTTAAGTTTTTATTAGAGGAACTCGTCATGATTTTAAATTGTATGCCTACGTAACCTCTTATGATAAATCAAAGTCTCATTTCGTAGTTCGCATTTTGATTCAAAGACAACGCTATTTAATCCTTTTTTTAAATGATCTTGAAGTTTTGGTTAAGTTAGTAGAAAAATATTTGATCATCACTTAGCTGTTTTGAGGTTTGATTGATTGAAGTATGGTAGGACACATAGTGGGGGAGTCTGATAAAGTCTCCTCATCATGTGGCCAGATATTGGCGATGTGTCTCCCATAGGTGAATTGTGTGATCTTTGTAAAATATTGAATTAATTTGATAATAAGAAAAGATTTTTGACATTATGTACGATATAATTATTCTATCTAAAAAGACTAAATGTATATTTTTTAATATTTTATATTAATTAAAAGTAAACTATTATTACTTGATTAAACTAATCTATTTAAATAATTAATTAAAATAATTACTTAAAAAGAGAATCTAATCCTAATTATTTAAAATTAAGATATGAAAAAAACAAATTAAAAAAAAGTGAGATAACAAGGGGGGAGAAACCGACCCAACCTTGATATTCCAATTCTTCAATTCGTTAGCATAATAATCCACTAAATGAGCTTTTGACTTTTTCAAAATTGAGATAAAACAATGGCAAGTAGACATATGGACATTAATATAATAAAAATAAACTAATAAACAAATAATATGAACAATATATAGAAAGAAAAAAAAAGAAAAAAAAACAAAACAAATATACATATGTCATTTACTTTAGAAACAAGTTTTTTATTTTATTTTAAAAAGTGATTAAATGAAAATAAGTCTTAAAATACCTCTGCCTTTCTCTCTCCTTTATCTCAGATCTGGAACGGAAAAAAAACACAGGGGTTTCTTTTCCCTCATGTTCTCTTATCTTCTTCAAAATAAACAACCCAAAACTCAAATCTCATACTTCACAAATCAATTCTTCTTGAAGAACATCTAGCTGGATTTGACGGTGAAGATGGCGGAGATCGAGGAACGTGGTTCGGAAGTTTGTTGGTGAGTGTGGTGGTTCGGTATTAAACAACGTCGGTAGTTGCGGTGGCGACGAGTGTGTTGAAGCTCGCTGGATGGGTGGCTTGCAACGGTTGGTGAGGGGTGATCTTGCGTCGAGTTTGAGTTGTTGATGTCAGTATTGTGAATTTCAGTGTTTTTCCTCAGTGCTCTTCCACTATGGATTGTGATATACCTGTTATAAAAACCTGAAAAATTGAGGAGAATGAATGATAAAAGTAGAAATCAGAAATGGTATGATGAGAGAGGTAGGAGGATTCTGGTTTCAATCTGCTTCTTGATATTTGTTGTTGCTGGTTTTGTAATTACATCATTTATATTATGAACCTGTATCCATGATTTTTGCAATTTAAATATATTCTCATAATGAACTTGTGATATTGATAATGATATGATTATGATTTTGTATGGATTTTTTTATATGAGTTTGGTGTATGGTTAGAAAATGATAATGAGAATTACTAGTATGAATATTTACAAAGTATATTTATTTTTAGTAAAAAAAGTGCGGAAATATGTATATGATTATGTTAGAAATTGTATTCCAAAATGTATAATATATGTGCTTGTGCGATTAGTGACAATAGGGAGAGATAAGTTTGTGTGAAAAAGTGTACGGTGGATTAGTGGGTGAGTGAAAAAGGGTTTTGCATTGAAGGTCGAAACATGGTTGTGATCATGTGTATGTTGAAAAGTCAGATAAGACTAAGAGATATAAAAAAAGGTTTTGTGAAAATTGTGGATCGTGAGGATTTGTGTATGTATCAAGTGGATGAATAATTATTTATAAGATATTATGATTAAAAAAATCATCAGAAATCATCATATGGTTAAAAAAACAAAATGAATTGAAATTAATAAATTGTAATTAAAGGGGCTCATATAAAATGCTTGGCCAAGAATAAAGAAATTTTTGTTGTTGTTTGATATAGACAACAATCCTAGAATAAACTAAAATCAAGAATTATAAGAATTTTGAAAGAAAAAAGCAAGTTTTTGTGGATGAATTGTGAAATTTGTGGATGAAAAATTAGGACAAACTAATGTCCTATTTATAGAGTGAATTAGGTTAAAAAAAGACTTAGAGACTAAGTTATTCAAAAGTTCAAAAGAATTCCCAAAGTTTGATCTCCAAAAAAGGGAAGAAAATAAGTAAAAATAAGAAAAAATGTTTAAAAGTGTCACACACGAAATTCGAATCCGCAACCTCATACTTGCAAGCTTCATTCCTTATTAATTGTGTTATGTTACTTATTCGAAATAAAAAGCCAATTGAAAGTACATGAAGACGAGCAAGTATTTGTTTATTCAAAAATACAAATAATCTTGAAATAAATTATTATATTTTTAAATAGGTTTGGAAGCGAATATTTATAAAAATCAAGGAATATTTATAAAATCAATGTTTAAGAATATTTTTGATCGTAAAAATAAAGGGCAGATAAATTTGGGGTATGACAGCTTCCCATATTTAATCACTTTTCGATTGAATGGTTCGAGAATGTGCAGGTCTCACACATTCAAATCAGAGGGTTATTAAATAATGGAAGACCCCAATATTTGACCAAAGGTTGACTAGATAAGGATACACTGTACAACATTCCCTCAAGAGTTTTGAAAAAATAGGCAAAGATGATAACGTATCAGCTTACCCGAATTTGAAAAAAAGAAATAGGCAAAGATGATGATATATCATCCTACTAGAATTTGAATAGAGAGTAAAAATTGAAGAGTAAGATTGATCCAGATATGACGACACAAATAACTCGTCATTACCTAGAAAAAGAGATTGTAGTATTTGCGTATTTACCATAACCTAGGAGGTAAACAACACAAGTTGAAAGATTATAAGGATACATTGTACAACATTCCCATGGGTATGAAGAGTAGGCATAGATGATGATGTATCATCTTACTAGCGTTTGAACCAAAATTTTGATTTAACTTAGATACAATGACGCAGATAATTCGTCAGTATCTAAGAGATTGTAGATTCTTTTGCGTATTTAAAAAAACACAAGTTTTTAAAAAAAATCGACTTACTAATGCTTGGAGACTAATATAGTAAGTTTTTATTTGATTTGATTTTGTCTATTCATCGTAACTTAGGGGATGAATAAAAAAAGTCTGATAACACATTACTGCATGGAGACTAATGCAATGGATTATGCAAATTTATTCGCATATCTATCGCAACCTAGGGGATAAATATTTGAAAAGGAGCTTGATAACAACATCTTTGCATGGAGATCGACGCAATGAATCATGTCATGGTTCACACATTGCTGCATGGAGACTGACGCAATGGGTTATATTGCAGATTTCCCACATCACTGCATGGAGGTTGACGCAATGGGTTATATCGTAGAGGAGGAAACAAATCGCTGCATGGAGACTGACGCAATGTTATATCGCAGATTTTGCATATTGTTGCATGGAGCCTGACGCAATGAGTTATATCGTAGAGGAGGAAACACATTGCTGCATGGAGACTGACGCAATGAGTTATATCGCATATGTTGCACATTGTTGCGTGGAGCTTGACACAATGAGCTATATCAGAGAGGAGGAAACACATCATTGCATGGAGACTGATGAAATGAGTTATATCGTAGATTTCGCACATTGTTGCATGGAGCCTGACACAATGAGCTATATCGTAGAGGAGGAAACACATAGTTTCATAGAGACCGACACAATGAGTTATATCAGAGGAGGAAATACATTGTTGCATGGAGACTGACGTGATGAGTTATATCGCAGATTTCACACATTGTTGCATGGAGTCTGACGCAATGAGTTATATCACAGAAGAGGAAACACATCGCTGCATTGAGACTGACGCAATAAGTTATATCACAGATTTCACACATTGCTGCATGGAGTCTGACGCAATGAGCTATATCATGGATTTTACATGTTGTTGCATGGAGAGTGACACAATAAGTTAAATTGCAGATTTCACACATTATTGCATAGAGTATGAACTAATGAGCTAGATCGTAAAGAAAGAACACGTTGTTGTATTGAGATTGACACAATAAGTTAAATATAGAAGATTTCACTCATTGTTGCATAGAGACTGACACAATGGGTGGAGTTGCTGATTTCGCAACATTGTTGCCTGAAGTCTAACACAATGAGCTAGATCGCAAAGAAAGAACATATTGTTGCATGGAGACTGACACAATAAGTTAAATATAGAAAATTTCACTCATTATCGCATAGAGACTGACACAATGGGTGGAGTTGTTGATTTCGCAACATTGTTGCTCGGAGTCTGACACAATGAGCTAGATCGCAAAGAAAGAACATATTGTTGCATGGAGACTGACACAATAAGTTAAATATAAATAATTTCACACATTATCGCATAGAGACTGACACAATGGGTGGAATATATAGGAAGTTATTTTGAATGATCCACATCTTAGATAACTAAATCAGAGATGAGAACGGATTCTACTGGTTATTTGTTTTTAACCGAGGTAAGAACTGATGGAGGGCCCTAAGATATTGGCTTTGTTCGTAGTAGGTTTCGGGGAATGTCATGCATGATGCATATGCATGGAAACATGGACCTTAGAATGCATATGTAACGAATGTATGTATGACTCAAATATATATTGGTGCAAACTATGTGTATATGCCCCAAATATTATGGAAAGGTTTTTGATAATTATCCTTCGTTAAACCATCAGGTTCTTGTAGTTATCAACTTCCCAACATTGTTTGTTGCCAAATATTGTATCTCCAAGATGATTTAAATTTTGTGAAAAGTTTCAGCAAGATCTTGATGTCTGTATTGTAGGTGCAGGCGTAGGTATGGACATAAATGTGGATGTTGGTGGATGTTGACATAGTCGTAAACATAGGCGTGGGCGTAGAAATAGGCGTGGATTTTATTTTGATATATTTCCAACCAGAATAAATTTTGATGCTTTATCAAATGTTCTTTGGTGTTTCTGTATGTTAGGTGCAGCAAATGTTGTGCATGACCTTGAGATTTTAATATGGTTATGTGTACGTCATGCTTGATATGAGGCTTTTTGACAGCAAATCTATTGCCAATATTTCTAGGGAATATGATGCTGAGATCCTGTCGAGAACTACCTTATGCCGAGGTCTTCTGGATAATTATCTGCCGAGATTAACTAGGGAATCTACTGCCGAGATTCGATCCTGAATTACCCTCTGCTGGGGTCTTCTGGAAAATCATCTGCCAAGATCAACCAGGGGAATCTTCTGTCGAGATTCGACTGAGAAATACCTTATGCCGAGGCCTTCCAGATAATCAACTTCCGTGATTAACCAGAGGAATCTACTGCCGAGATTCATTTGTGAGCTACCTTCTGTCGAGGTCTTCCAAATAATTAATTGTCGTGATCAACCAAGGGAATCTACTACTGAGATTCAATTGAAATATACCTTCTGTTGAGGTCTTCTAGAAAAACAACTGTCGTGATCAACCAGGGGTACCTACTGTCGAGATTCAATTGAAATATACCTTCTGCCGAGGTCTTCTGGAAAATCAACTACTGTGATCAACCAGGGGAATCTATTGTCGAGGTTCAATTAAAATATACCTTATGCCGAGGTCTTCTAGAAAATCAACTATCGTGATCAACTAGGGGAATCTACTGCCAAGATTTGATGTAGAATTGATAGCTTGATTGCCAATGATGTATGTCCTTACATAAAATAAGATTTTATGTTATACGTGCAAATTTGATTGATGCATGAAATTTAATGATTGATTAATGAATGAAATGTAATGATTGGTTGATGTATGTGATGAATGACTTGGATATGTGTAAATGGATGTTGGACTTTGAAATCGAAATGTGTAATTGGGCTTTTTTTAGATATGCTCGACCCACGCTGTCGGACATCGTCAGATTGATGAAATGATAAGTATAGCTTGATTCTGGATCAAGGAGCCCTAATGCTTTATGATTATGACTCAAATGGTTTGTTGAATGGTGTCCCTGTGATGGGTCATGGATGATTAAAGCATAGAGGTTTGCCTATGCAACAAGGTTGCTTATCACATGACACTTTAAGGTTATGCTATCATGATTTCCCGATACTCGATTTGAACTCAAAAGTTGCTGATGTAGGATAAAAATCCACTGGATATTATGAAAGTATGCGGAGAGCTTGCCTCTACTTGGATTGTCTTTACCTAATTTGTTGGTAGGGTCTTGGAGGAGATTCTATTTTATATGAGCTTGGAAACCGTTTGATCATAATGTGAATGACTCCACTATATTATGCCCTTGATTAAAAAAAAACTCTTGAAACTGCTTGGCTTTGATGAACCAATTTGAATCGACT